TGAGCGGGAACCGGCCTGTATGTGGGATCCGAACCCTCGGCGGGAGCGCCACCGCGCTCTCCCGTGGCGCACTGTAGCAGTGTGCCACCCTGCCGGCCCAGGGACGGGGTTTTAACAGCTCTAGTAACGTTTTATTTTTTGCTTTCACATGAAGATTTACTTAGAAAGAATGAAAATAAAGCACAGTCAGTCAATTCCTTTCCCAATGATCTCTCACAGGACCGTTCATCGGCTTGTTCATTAACACCTGCGGGTGTCGCCGGACCACCATCATCGGAGGCCTCGTCAATTTCCTCGGCTGGGTGTTGAGCGCCTACGCCGAAAACGTGTATTACCTCTTTATTACGTTCGGAGTGGCCGCTGGTAAGCATGTGAATTTTTCTGAACTGTATTTTAAATGTTTTCTTGCACATTTTGGCAGCAAATTTAACTGTGGAGAAAAGAGATCAACTAAAACATTTTGTTCTTTTCCCTCCCTCCCACCCCAAAATCACCCTACACTGTAGGAACTAGTTTTAAATATAAGATGTTAAATATGCCTTAAGTGGGGGAAACCAACCCAACAACTGTGCTTGGCCTCTCTAATACAATCAAATTAAATTTGCATGCCTGGTTCTAAATGCAAGCCCTTTCACCTAATGAGGAATAGGAGTGTAGTAAAACAAACTTAGGTGAGTAAACCAAATGTTAAGGAAATTAATAACATTCTCTTGTTAACGCTGCAGAATTGAGGGCAGATCACAGAATAACCGTTTACTCCCTCAGCACTGTTCAAATTAATGAAATAACAAAATCCACACCCACGTAGAGATTCTAAGAAGTCAGTCTAGAGCATATTAGGGTAACATCCGCAGTGAAGAAATAAAAATTGGCTGCCAGGCACAGCAGTTCGCATAGCTGTTCTGCAAAATATATTCCCAGACATAATTTCCTTTATCAACAGGTGGTGGGATTCACACAGATAAGTAGTTACTTACTTGCACGATTGTATTTTAATGAACCTAATTCAGCTGGACTTTCTTTTTGAGAACAGAGCTGCAGTCTTCCTAATGAATGTGTTAGCTTTAGAGTTAAAAGTTAGTTTGGAATTACGTTTCTGTGTGTGTGTGTGTTTGTTTTTTTAACCACCTATTATCTGTGTGACTTTGGGCAAGTTACTTAACCTACTTATGCCTCAATTTCCTTATCTGCAAAATGGGAATACTGAAGAGTGGCTGGTTTACATGTTTGTTAAAATGATTAAATGAGATAATTTGTATAAAGCACTTAGCACAATGCTTGGTACATAATAAAATGCTCAGTAAAAGCTAATATGGTAATATATATAATATTACATATTTTATTATAGTATAAGCTTAAGTGTATGCCTTATGATAGCAGGAGAAAATGAACAGAAAAACCTGCTGTACACATAAATCCACAAGTTGGTTCTCCATAATGTACATCTATACACGTACACTCATAAAGCACTTTTCAAGCATAGTTTGAAAAACATTGATCTGAAGGACTTGATAATTTTTTTCCTTATTATATATAATCCTTTTTAAAATTTAATTTTATTTGTAATTGACAAATAATGGCATATATTTATGGATACAATGTGATCTTATGATACATGTATATATTGCAGAATGATTAAATAATGTTAATTAACATATCCATCACTCACATACTTATTTCTTTGTGATGAGAACATTTAAAATCTACTTTTAGCCATTCTGAAATATGCAATACATTATTAACTGCTGCCACCATGCTGTGCACTAGATCACTAGAACTTATTCCTCCTGTGTTAAGAGTTCTAAAAAGAACTTAAGATGTTGTTTCTGAGTGTTTGAGAAACTTTCTCCCATAACAGTCCACTGAATGGAGCTAGCACTGGGATTTCTGTGTTATAGTCAAGGAAATTAACACTCCTTTTACTGAGATTATGGAGTTACATTGGGGTATCTGGGAAGACGTGGGATCCCATATGAATTTGATGTGGTGGTGTTTGGTTCTCTGGACTATAAGTTGATCCTAAAAGCTGGGACTTGAGATTTCTTCTTATCATTTAGAGATTTCTATGGTTAGACTCTTTGTTTAAGTGGAGTTTTATTTCTTGGAATTCCTCAAATAATATTATGTCCATATATATTCATTTATTTATTCATTCACTTATCTATCCAACAAATATTTGTGAAGCCAAGGAAGTATGAATAAAATCAGGAGGCAGGTGAAAGGAAAGTGTTTCTGGAGATACTTCATTGCTGCCACTTTTTATACAGGAAAAACCCAAAGAAAGTCTCTGAAAAATTTTTCCATCATATGTCTCCAATAACTGTATTTAAGTGGAAAATGCAGTCAGATCAGTCGGGTTATATATTCAAAATGTTGGACTGTCATTAGTGAGGCTTATTGAAGCCAAATGGCAATCCACACCCTGTTTAATAGAAGAAAAAAAAAAAAAGATGAAAGATCTACTGCAAAAAACAGTGTGTTTATCACTGTACAACTTAGGCTTGGAAGAAACTTTGTTGATACCCTTTATTCCCAAAAGCATTTGAGGCTGATCTGTTTGTGTCTTTTTTAACACTTAGGCAATTAAAATTGCATGAGAGTGTCCTATGAAGCAGAAAACTAATGTCTGTTTGAGTAACCTTACTTAGCAAGAGCATCTGGGAAATTTTCTGGAGCTGCATCAGAACTCCATTCTCCTAAGCCTGGCTCCTGAAGGCACCTTCTCCACACCCACACTGACCCAGGACCACAGGATTTTCTCTGCCCATCTGGGCTTTAAAGCCCTCCTCTAATCCTGGGTGTGGTGAAGAATTACTCTAGGGCCATGCACAGGGCTAGACACGAGTGTGGCTTTGCCTGAGCCCATATTCCCAGGGTGTGCCCCGTAAGTTCCGGTAATAATTGTGCTGATTACGGATAGCAAAGTCACATTAGGAAGGGGGCAAATGCTGTTCGGTGCATGGATAGTGACTGTAATAGGGAAAAGGATGCTTATAACATTGGGTATGAATTTTTTTTTCTCACACATGGAAAAATTTATTGTTCATACTAGGTTAGAATTAACACTCTTTTTATGATTATGTTCTTCAGCTCTGCTTCAATTAGTCATTTTATACTGCTGCTGTTTAGGAATCCATAACCATGTTAAATTTACGATGTTGGTTATTGCCATTGACAGATCAAAAAATTTTTTTAAATTAAACTTATTTTGTCCTATCAGCAAAATCCAGAGTATGGCAAATTCTGTAGGACAAATGATCCAGTTTCCTTAACAAATAAATCTCAAGGGAAAACAAAGAGAGAGACTAAAAGAGGCTTAAAATACATATTAACAACTAGCAATTTGTAAGTCTTATTTGGATCCTGATTTAAACAAGTTTATTAGCACTGCACTCTCCCGAGTGAGCCACAGGCCAGCCCTTTAAACAAGTTTAAAAAAATAATCATCATTTATAAGACATTTGGAAATTGGAATTTTAATACCTTCTGGATATTTAATGATACCAAGACTTGTTCATTTTTTTCAGATGAGATAATGATATGATGATTATACTGTTTAATTCTCTTTTTCTTTTTACTGGCCGGTAATGGGATCGCAACCCTCAGTGTCGCGCCCACACCATGCTCAGCCCGGGAGCGGGAACTGGTCACCACATGGGATCCGAACCCTTGGCGGGAGCGCTGCCGCACTCCCAAGCAGCGCACTCTCCAGTGCGCCACTGGGCCGGCCCATTAATTCTCTTTTTTTTTTTTTTT